TCTCCTCTTCATCTGCCTGTGGTCAGCCCTGCATAGAAGGCAGTTGGTGTCTGATGTGGCATCACAGGTTTGTGTGTACACAGCTCACTTCAGAAAGCGGAATCTTGGCTGAATGCAGTTGTACACACCTGGAATCAAAGCTACTTGGGAGGCTCAGACAGGAGAATCACAAATTTGAGACCAGCCTCTTTGAGACCCTGTCTCTCAAAATCAAGAGGGCTGGAGATGTAGTTCAACGGTAAAGCACCCTGGGGTTCAATCCCTAGGACTGGGCTGGGAAAGGAAATCTGCTTTTCCTAAGTGTAGCGGGTGGTACTTGGCTGTTTTCTGGTGTTTTTACTCCTGCTGTCTCAGGATGACCTTCAGAAGCTGAAACTGAGGAAAGGATCATGAGCTCGGGGTGGGGGCTTCTGGCTGAGCAGGCTCTGACATGTGGACACAGTGTGCCACTGGCCCTTGCCTTTCTTGTCTCACATGACCCTCTGTTGGTTTCCCAGGTTGGCTGCCTTGAGGAATTAACTGCGCCTCTACCTGCGCTGGCTCCCCTGCTCCGTGATGTGCTGGAGGCTCCTGTCCTTCCTCCCCACTGTCCCTCACCTTTTGATCCTGCAGAGCTGCCACCGGCAGCCATGGCCTCCAGCTCCTCTTGCCTGCCGGGCCAGGGTGGACTCAGAACTGATCCTGTTCCTCCTAGGTCGGACAGTGGGTCTGCATCCTGGTGTTGAGTTTATGCACACTGGTGTGGGTAGCTTTGTGACTCTGGGCGGACCCTGGAGCCTGGCATGCTGCCCTCGGTCCTTCACTGTGCAGAGTTGATGGGACTGGCCAAAGGATGTGTGTGGACGTGAGCCCAGTGCTGTGGGGCCCTCACGCTCCAGGGGCTGCATCCCTGCTACCTACTGTCAGCCAGTGGGGATTGGGGCCACCCCTGTGCCAGGCAGCTCCTGGAGGCCTCCCCCTTGACAGACAGCCTGCCACAAGAAGGTGCCTGTGGACCTGTGTCCAGCACCGCTGACACTCTGCTGGGCATTTACAGATGATAACCTTCTTCTGTGGTTCAGGGCTGGGGTCTTGGCCTTACTACAGCTGGCTGAGCCCTGCTGGGGCCTCCTGCCCTCGCCTCCCTCAGTTCTTAGAGGTGCCCAGTCCCCCGGACAGAACAGTCATCCAGGTCCAGGTCCAGGTGTGCCTACCTGGGGTTCTCATCCTTGCTGGGCAGCTGCCTCTGTCTCCCACAGCGCCCACCAGAACTCCAGGCTCCTCCAGCCACATGACCTCTTTCCTAGGGCCTTTGCCAGTGCCTCCCACTCCTCAGTGGGTGCCACAGTTTTGTCTTTCACTGTAAATTAGCGGGCACTCCCTTGGCCGCTGCCCCACTTGCCTCCTCAGCTTGGATGCCAGAGTGGCTGTGGAAGGGAGCTGGGACAGTGGCCTTGAGGGCCACTGCAGGCTCTTGGAGGACTGCTGCAGGAGCCACAAGAGACGTGCGGGGAGACCGTGAGGGCTGGGCACCAGCTGCTGTCTTGCTTTTTCTGTTTCCTAAAGTTTACTTAATGCCATCAAAGTTCTTAGGGTTTGGGTTTTTTTGTTTGTTTGTTTTTGGGGTTTTTTTGCCAAAGTAGAAAGCCGGGGCCTAGTTTTCCCAGCATGGGTGTGGGGCACCAGTGTTGCCCACCCAAAAGACCCATGTTCAAGCCCTGAGTTCTGTTCTGGACGTGGAGCCCTGGTATCCGTACAGTGGGTGGTGCTGGGGGAAAGGGTAGCATTGGTTGTTCCAAATGGGGTTGGTCGAGGCACTGTCTGGTTGTGGTCCCACTGGGACTCTGGAAATTGACCTGCATGCTGGGTGTGGAGAGAAGAGCTGATGTGTCCTGGGGAACAGCCTCAGGGAGCTCCCGGAGCCCCACTGAGGTGCACTGGGGTGCAGAGGTCTGGGTAGCACTGGCCTGCAGGGGTCCTGGGGCTGGTTCACCACAGGAGGGTGGGTGTTTGCCTTTTTCCTAAAATGCTGTTGTAAGTAAATAAATTGATGCCTGTAATCTGCTTGAGCTTTGCTTTGGTCTGAAGCCAGTTCCTGTCACGACCTGAAGCCTTCAGTGTGCTGCCAGGAGGCACCTTGCTGCTAGAGCAGACACAGGCCCCTCTGTGTCCAGTTCTTGTTTGTGTCATCTTGCAGTGTGAGCCTGGCCCTCATGGTCACCTCTCAGTGGGGAGTGGAACCACACCCCTTGCCAGCAGAGGGCATTCCCCTCTGGTCTGCACACCAGCCTCATTCCCCATGCCCTCTCAGGGTGGCGGTCATCTTTCTGTAAATCCCTTCATCTGCATTCCATTGTGGGAGCCTTCCCACCCTGCACTGTGCCTGCAGAGGAGAGGGGACCTGCCCCTGCCCCAGAAGCCCCATTGCTTCCAGCCACATCTCCCGTGGCCTCCGTCTTGTCCTGGCAGGAGCTTGGGACAGCCAGATGCAGGTCCTTCAAGGAGAGAGCTGGCAGGTGCCACACTGCTAGGCACACCAAGAAACCCGCCTGCACCCAAGCCGCCTCTGCAGCCTGTTCCCAGGACTTGCCCACCCCTGGGGGGTGCTCATGTTACAGAAGATGGTGTGCCACCAGGCAGGGGTTTAAGGAGGTCTCCACGCAGATCTTTTCAGGTTCTTGACCCCGTCACAGAAAAGAGCTTGAAGGTGAGTCAGATTATAACAAGAAAGGAAGTGCTCTATTGAAAGAGCACAGAGACAGTGTGCAGCCAGACGGCCGTGGCTTGTGCTGGCTAGAGAAAGCAGGGGTTGGCTGCAAGGGGGCGCCCTGGAATCAGGGTCCCTATGTGGACCCCGCCCAGCTTCACTACCATCTAGCCCTGCAGCCAAAGGGCGTGCAAGCGCATGTGGTGGTCACCTGCACCAGCACAGGGTATATGGAGGGCAGGCTGCCTGAAGGCGGGCCGTCTGGGGTGTGGTCACTGGTTAGAACACTGTATAGTCCTCCAGATGCTAGTAGGGCCCTATGACTGAGTAGGAGGCCCGAGGCAGGGGGGATTGCTGCAGTGAGGTGAGACCGGCTCACTCTGGACACTGGGTCAGCCCTCCGCACCCACTGCCCTGTTCCTGTCTCAGCCCACACCACCTCATTAGGATGAGGGATGACCGAAAAGTAAGGTGGTGAGCAGGAAGTGCTCTCCAGGTCAGAAGTGCCTGGAGGGCAGGCAGGTGTGTCCCTCTGGGTGCTGTGGTGAGACCCTCATGTGGGTCAGGGCTCTGTGGAGCCAGCGTGGCAGCACAGGACGAGCCCAGTGGTGCTCTGCCACTGAGCCACACCCCTAGCCTCTTTAGCTTTGTTTTTTTATTTTTTAATATTTTTCTAGTTGTAGATGGACACCATATCTTTTTTACTTTTTATTTTTATGTGGTGCTGAGGATCAAACCCTGTGCCTCACACGTGTGAGACAACCATTCTACCACTGAGCCACAACCCCAGCCCTTTAGTTTTATCTTGAGGGGGGATCCTGCTGAGTTGCTGTGACTGGCCGGAAGCCTGGATCCTCCTGCCTCAGCCTGAGTCGTAAGGGTGGCAGTGTGGCCTCAGCTCAGGGCTTGCTGCCTTGCTTGTGAGAAAGCACTTCCCAGCTAGCCAAGTGAGGGTTATACCTCTGCAGAACTCTGGACGGAACCCCTGCTGGACTGTTTTCCCCTTTAACATTAAGTTGACCCTCAGTAATCAGCAAATGCCCCTTCAGAAGGCCTGGATCCCTGGGAGACCACTGCTCCGCTGGATGTGCCGTAAAGGTAAAGAGGCGACTGAGCTGCATTCTGTGCCAGTGGCTCCATCCCTAGGCACGGGCCTGCTTGCCCCCACTGTGGCATGTGGCATGTGGGGGACTCCAGACCCGGTCAGATGACCCTGTACTCAACCCCCAAGGGCTTTGGTCACCCTCTACCTGGTCTTCTCCCAGGGAAGTAGGGTGGAAAGGAACGTGCGCCCTGTGGGCTGGGTGGGGCCTGAGATGCTGGGCAGAGGTGCTGCCAATGGGTCCAGGGGGAGCGGCCTGCAGCTCTGGCCAGAAGGTGCAGCGGTGGTCTGCCTGGGTCTGGCCCTGTGCTGTTCCTCCTGAGATTTATCACCTTGGCACACCCCAGTGGCCTCATGGGAAGGCTCTGAGCCTGTCTGCCTGATAAAGAGGTCAGTGCTGGGCAGGCCAGCTGAGACCTCCTCTGTCCTTGTAGGTCTGCTGTTCAAAATGCATGATGACCTGGCAGGGCCCTGGAGCCCCTCTGCTCAGACCTCATGGTCCCACCTATCCAAAGAGGCTGAGCCAAGGGAATTATTTACAAAGGCAAGTTCCTGGGCCCCCTCTAGGGTCTGCAGAACCACACCTGCTGGCGGTGGGTGGCAGTTATGTCTGTGTACAAGCATAGGCGTGTGCATGAGTGTCAGACTAGATGAGTGCACAGAGGCCATGCGGGAGGTAGTCATGGAGCCTCCTGGACCATGATGGTCGTTTGTTTGTTTGTTTGGTCCTGGAGGTTGAACTCCGTGTGCTCAATCACGTAGCTACATCCTCAGCCTCTTTTAGTTTTTGTTTTGAGACAGGGTCTTGCTAAGTTCCTGAGGCTCGCCCAGAACTTGTGATCCTCCTGCCTCAGCCTCCCAAGTTGTTGAGATGACAGCATGTATCACTGTGCCCAGCTGGACTGTATTTTTAAAAGACCATAAACAATGTTTGCACAGCCCTTTTTCAGGGGTCCTGGGCTCCCTCTGGCCCGTACCCCCCGGGACTCAGGTTCTGTTCCCACAGATCTGTGCTCAGGAGCAGCCCCTCCAGGGCCTCGGGTCTGACGACACACACCTGGGTTCTCCAAGGGCTGCTGCTTTTATTGAGTCTACTGTGTGCTGTCCTGGGCTGTCCCCTCCCCCCAGCAACCCCAGCGGCTTGCAGAGGAGAGGTTGGGCCTTGTGCTCTTAGACCAGCCTGTCTTCCTCGATCCCAGGAGCCCTAAAGAGTCACAGGGGCTGCAGGCCGAAGAGCAGAGGGACCAGGAAGGCCAGCAGGGCCCCTGGCTGGTGGTGGAGGCTGGGGGCTTCTGAGTAGCCATACTGAGTCCTACAGGAGCCGCCCAGCTGGTCCAGAGGGATGGGCGTCTCTTCTGGAGTTTCGCTGTGGTTGCTCACCTGGGGACAGATGGGCTGGGCAGCCTGCCTGGCAGGGGCAGACGGGAGGGGGCGGGAAGGACATAGGTAGCCACCGTGTCCTCACCTTCTCCACTTCCTTGAAGACTCTCAGCAGGTTGTTAGCCAGTGCACCCCTGACCTCTTCCTCTGTCCACTGCCTCCTGAGCAGCTCCGCGATCAGGTCTGGGTACTTAGACACGTCCTCCAGCCCCACCGGGAGCCTGTGTCCAGGCCAAGAGAACTGGATTCTGCTGCACCCAGGACACGCTTTCCCTCCTGAGCCCCCTGGGGACCCACTGTTGGGACTGTGATCACAGGATGAGGTCACAGCCCTTACCTGGTCACACCATCATAGTCCCCGCCGAAGCCCACGGCTCCAGCTCCTGCCACTTTCTTCACGTGGTCCAGGTGGTCTGTCGGTGGGCAGGGCAAGTGTTGGGCCCTGAGCCAGGTCCCGCCCTGAGCGGCCCCCAGGGAGGCTCACACCCCCACCTACCAGCCACCTGGGACAGGTTGGCACCCTCAGAGCAAGAGACAAAGTAGTTGTAGAAGTTCACCATCACCAGGCTGCCCGTCTCCTTCTGCCCGGGGAGAGGGAGGCTGAGTTGGGGAGGACCCGCTGGGAGACAGGCTGGGACTCCCCCCACACCCCAGGCCCTCACCACCATCTGCAGCACATCGTCCGGCACGTTCCGGGCGTGCCTACACAGGCTGTAGGCCGAGGAGTGGCTGAAGATGACTGGTGCCTTGGACAGCTTCAGAGCAGCCTTCATGGTGGCCACGGACACGTGAGCCAGGTCGATCATGATGCCCAGGCGGTTCATCTCCTTCACGACTAGCTGTGGGAGACAGGGCTGGGCCATTCCCAGCACCCAAGGCCAAGAGCAGGGCGGGCCCCTCCCAGCACCCAAAGTCAAGGACAGGGCAGGGCCACTCCCAGCACCCAAAGCCAAGGACAGGGTGGGGCCATTCCCTGCACCCAAGGTGTCACTTGACCCTCAGGCTGGAAGTGGGGGCCTCCCTGGGGTCAGCATTCTGAAGCCCAGGGGGCCCATGAGCCCAGCCCTGGGTAAGCTAGCTGCACTTTATGGACAAGGAAACCACGGTCCTGAGGGTTGGGCACCTGTCCTGGCTGTTCTCCCTGGACCTCTGCCTCTTCCCAGGGATCTGCGGACGTCCCCCACCCCCTCACCTGCCCGAAGTCTGACAGCCCTTGGCTCTGAGCCTTGTCAGCTCCATCATCCACCAGCCAGTTGTCAGCCCTGGAGAAAGAGCAGGTGACTTAGGAGCGGGCCAGGGGTCCGGGCCTGCCACAGCTGCCTGGCAGACCAGGCTGGGCCTGGGACTCACAGGGGCTGAAGGAGACCGTTGGTGCTGGAGGTGGGCTGATCCTACCTGCTGACCTCAGTGGCCACAGCGGGGACCCTTACCAGGGTGTGTTGCAGTTGTGAGTGAGGGTCATGTATCGCATCCCCAGCTGGTAGAAGGCCCGCAGGACACCCAGGCTGCTGTCGATGGAGTGGCCGCCCTCCACACCGATCAGGCTGGCCACCTTCCCCTCCCTGAAGGCCTGCTGGATGCCTGAGGAGAGCCAGGGTGGAGGGGCATGGCGCTGGCACCTGGGCAGCACCACCTCCTACTCCTGCCCCTACCCCTCCACGACCAAGCCTAGCTGGAGGCTCAGGCCAGGCCAGGGCCCACCTTCACTACTGGTGACACACAGCAAGTCGTCGGGGTACATCTGGCACATGCGGTGAATGACGTCCATCTGCTCCAGCGTCCTCTTCACCACGTCCTTGTTCTGAGTCTCACAAGGTAGATACGCAGACCAGAACTAGAGGGACAGGGGGCAGGAGCTGGTGGCACCGGGCCTCAGGCATCTGGTCCCTCATCCCTCCTGAAAGCTGCAAGAGCCCGTGGCCCCCTGGACCCAGAGGCCACACCTCCACCGGCAAGGCCCTGCCTCAGCCAGGCCTCCAGGGGATGGGGGCTGCCAGCTTGGGGCCAGTGGAGGTGCGTACCTGGCCCCCCACAAAGCCAGCCTTCAGCTTGGGGATGTTGGTGTGGGTGTCAGCCAGTGTGGTCAGGTTGGCCCTCTTGTCCAGCAGCTGGTTGTTGAACAGATTCAGCAGCTGCCAGGGCAGGTCATTGTGCCTGGGGAGCCAGGAAGGGGTCCAATAGTCAGAGTGGCCACTTGAAGGTGGGGCTTCTGATTCCTTGGCCACAGCTGTCCACTCTCTCCTTCCTGCTTCCCAGACTCAGGGCTAGAGCCAGGCCAGAGAGGGGCTAACCTACCTGCACTCAGGTGAGCACCCAGCTGGGCCCACCTCTAGGCCAGGGAGTAGCTGGGCAGTCCCCACCTCCAGGAGGAGAGAACAGGCCATCCTCCGCCTCCCAGTGTCTGGGGGTGGGTGCCCGTGGGGCCACCTGGATAAGGCTGACCATCTTCAGTCTGAAGATCAAACCAGGTGGGGTGTGGGGTGCAACTGGCCCCATCCTACCAGGGAGCAGAGCATCAGGTGCAGGATTTGGGGGGTACAGGACCCCTCTGCTGACTCTATCCCTAGGGAAGAGTCCTGTGCCCATTTCCACAGATCCTCCTGTGCCTCCCAAGGACTGAGGTCCCCAAGAGCCTTGGGAGAGGGTGTGTCAGGAGCGGGCAGCTGAGGGAGCTCTGCCAGGGCCCTCCTCTGGTGGCCCAGCAGCCCCAGGGCTGAGTCCTAGACCCTGGGCCCCAGCAGAGGCTGGGAGTAGCCTGGCATCCCTTGAGCTGGGACTTGCCCGTGTCCAGTTTATCGGCACCAGACGGCTGAGGAGACTCTCTGGAGGCCCAGGCCTTGCTGTGACTGTCTGGGACGTGGGGCTTGTGGCCAGGGCTTCAGGGCCCACTTCCCCTTCCCCAGGACTGGCCCCCGTCGACTTCCAGCTCCCTCCCCTCTGTGCCTCAGCTGGCTGGGCCGCCACATGGGAATGTCGTGGTGTCACCTTCAGAGTGAAGCCTGGGGCAAGTGAGTGGCCATTAACGCAGGCGTGTGGACACTGAGGAGAGCGGTCCGTGTGTGGACACCACGGAGCACCACTACACCCACCAAGATGCTCACCGCCCCACAGCCCACACCATCTCAGGGATCGCTGTCCCTGCTGTCCTCCTCAAGGCTGTGGTCAGCCACAGCCACACCTCAGGTCTCAGAATGTGGTGCCCCTCCAGGCTGCCCACCCAAGTGCCCTCCTGGGAATGAGCCGCCCTGGGCACGCCTATGAAAGTCCCTCCCCAGGACAGGTCTGGGCACCCCACTGGGCCCCGAGAGGGCACCTGCCACAGGGTGTGATTTCTCAAAATCAAGGACTTCTATGAAGGTGGGAGGGACTAGGCAGATGGACTGTGGCCAAGCTCCTCCTGGGGCGACCAGGACACAAGGGTCCAGAGGAGAAGTGGGCGGGTGAGGGCACAGCCCCTGGGCTTTCCCAGCAGGACACACAGCCAGCTGAGGAAGTCTGTCCCCACCCTGGGCAGGGCGGGGGCCAGGGCAGCTGCCCGCCCTCACTCCCCCAGGGCCTCAGGCTCTGCCCACTCTGCAGGCAGTGGATATATGCTCCTTATTCAGGGGGTCCTGGGTGGGGTTCCACCAGAAAGACGGCCAGCAGGGGGAAGGGAGCTTCCTCTTTTTCCTGGAAACAATGCCCCACAGTGTTGGCAGCACCTGGCCAACTGGAACAGAGACGCCTCCCGACTCTGGTAGCTGGGTGTGGCCCTGTGGCTGAGTTCTGTCCTGTGACAGGTCCCAGAAACTATCCTGGGCAGATGGCAGTTTGCTGGCCCCTGAGGCAGCTGTGGGCAGGGTGGCCTCATGGAGTCCTGCACAGGGGTGCCATGGCAGGACCCCCCTGGACTTCTCAGCTGTGGGGACCACTTGTCTGGGTCTCCCAGTGGTCAGTGCAGCTCATGTGGACTGATCCAGGACTAGTGGTTTGACTCTACTGAGACTCGTCCTGGCTCCCTCCCTCTTTGGACCACCCCAGACCCCCAAGCCCAGCTCCCTGGCATTCTGTCCCTCTCTAGGCCACCTTATCCTCATGTGGGCTCTGGACAGCCCCCACCTGAACTCAGGCCCTCTTTCTGCCCAGCTGCCCTGTGCCCCCTACAAGGGAGAAACGTTCCCTGGCTCCCGTTCCCTACAGTGGAGTCCTCTGCAGTCCTCCCCCCGCCTGGCGTGCCCAGGAGGGCCTGGTCACTTCCTTCCAGATATCAGAGACCTGGGGACCTGGTCCTCTGCCCTGGCCGGAGACCCAGACAAGCTGGGCCAGAGGGCAGCAGGGAGGGTGGGGAAGGGACAAGGCCCCATGGCAGCCTGCCCTCCTTTCCTGAGTGGCCTCTGCTCCCTGGAGCCGGGTAGGAGGCCTCTGGGCTTCCCTTCTCCTCCCACAGAGGTGCCTCGGGAGCAGGGGCGAGCGCAGCATCCATTAGGCCCCCGTGACCCTGCCGAACCTAGACCCCGGTGAGTCCCTGCTCTCAGCAGCTCAGCTGGGATGTGGGGAGAGTCTCCTCCACAGCTCAGGGAGGGCCCAGCAGCCAGGGCCCAGCTGCAGTGCAGGGACAGTGGGAAGCGTGGCCGCAGCACCCAGGAAGGGGATGACGGCAGAGGACCCGGGGTCGGGAGGGCATGTGCATCAGAGGTGTCCAGGGTGACCCAGCGTGGGGGCAAAGGGACAGCCAGAGGGGCCTCATCCTTGGAGGCAGGAGAGAGGCTCTAAGCAGCCTGCTGAGGCTGGAGGGCAGCAGGGAGGTCAGAGGACACACAGCAGCAGAGGGGCACCCTGTGTTCCGTGAGGCTGTGAGGGGGCATCAAGAGCCAGACACATGTCCACGGAGTGGCTGGACTCCGCCCTTACCTGCAGCTTTCAGGGAATCTGAGGCCCAGGCAGGGGACACTGCCTGTTACCTGGACACACAGAGATGGAGTCAGGCTGCGGGGCTCTGGATCACCAGCTCTGAGCCACAGGAGCCCCAGGAGCTGGGGGTCTGGCCCTGCCTCCGCCTGCCCAGCCTATAGGCCCCTCTGCTGAGGCCCTTGGGGGCCCTGGGAGACTCCACGAAGTTCAGACCAGTGAAGGGCTAGGGCCACGCGACGGAGAAACTGAGGCTCCCGTGGCGTGTGAGCCTGGCTGAGGCAGGCGGTCACTCACCCATCGACAAGAGGCAGGTCCCGCATGATCCTCTCCGCCTCGTTTCGGAATGAGTCTGCAGCACAGACGGCCACCAGGGGCCAGAGCCACCAGCTGGTCCACATCACAAGGCCCCGGGGATCTGCTTCCAGGTCGCCCTGGTGTCTGTCCTGGCTGACCTGTGCCGACCGAGGACAGCCGCCCTCCACCTGCCAGGAGGAGCGCAGAGGCCTTTGCTCCGGGTGGTTATGGCCCCGGGCTCACCTTTACAGCTCGGTGTTCAATGAGTAACCAGCGCCTACCCTTTGAGGGGGTAGAATGGATGCTTGGAGACCCAGGGCTGGCACTGCTGTCCAGGCCGAGGAGTGGTGAGCCTAGAACTGGACAAGCACACCCAGGCTGCAGCCAGCCCCGTTTCAGGGACGCTAGCCCACCTGGTGGCCTGCTGGCTCCTCTGCCCCAGGTGGCATCAGACCTGCCCGAGCCCCAGATGTCAAGCCCTGACAGATCAGGGCCAGGTCCTCTGGTGGCCTGTCTCCCCCCAGGGCAGTGCCAGCTCCTCCCCTTCCTCCTGCCTCTGAGAGGGGAGGCCACCCTCAGCCTTGGCTCTGCCCGAGTCGCTCTGTCTTCGGGTAGGTGCCTTGGTCTCTGAGCTTGTTTCCCTCCTGTTCACATACTTCAATCAGCTGCTCAGGGCGCTGAGCCAGGGGGCAGTGTCAGCCCTCTCCTGTGGCCCTCTCGTCCCTCCATCTGCCCCCCCATACAACTGGGGACTCCAGGGGTTTTCAGTGCTTATGTCCCCCAGCCCCTCTGTTCCTTGGCAGGACATCCTGGGTGCTTACCAGGACCCCGGACAGAAAAGACCCCCATCCTGCTGGACATGGTGACACACCTCTGTAATCTCGGCTCCTTGGGAGGCTAAGGCAGGAGGATTACAAGTCGGAGGCCAACCTGGGCAACTTAACAAGATCCTGCCTCACAATAAAAAATAAGAAGGGGAAGGGCTGGCGTTGTGGCTCAGTGGTAGCACGCTCGCCTGGCAAGCGTGGGGCCCTGGGTTGGATCCTCAGCACCACATACAATCAGATAAAGGTATTGTGTCCAGAAGGGTTGAGGTGCAGCTCAGGGGTAGAGGGCCCAGTATTAAACCACAAAGAAAAACTGGAAAAAACCTAGTCCCACCGCAAGACCAGGCACCTAAGTCCACTCAGGCGGAAACTGGATTCCACATGGCTGGAGGATGATGAGCCTGCGCTTATGGGCACCAGCACCCAACAGCGCACCCCTCATTCCAGAGTCTAATGTCCACTTGGCTTGGTCTCCCTGCCCTCTCTTGGACAGGCAGGGCATCGTCCCCCCCAACAGCCTGTGAAAGTGTCCTGTGGCTGGTGACGAGGTGGGTTTAAAGTTTCCAGGCAGCTTCGTGGGCAGGGCTAGCCACCTAGCCACCACAGGTCCAACCTGGCCACAGGCGCCTCTCTCTGAAGATCATCTTGTCTGATACCTTTTGCAGTTCCCAGCCTGTGCTCCTGTCCTTGTGTTTCAGAGCCTTGTGGCACAGGGTACGCTAGGAGAGGGTTCCACCACTGAGCCAGGCCTGGACACTCTGATCTATATGTGGACACGTTCCTGCCCAGCTGCCCAGGCTGGCCTGGAACTCGTGAGCATCCTGCCTTGGCCTCCCAGGTGGCCGGGATGACAGGCGTGGCCACTGCCCAGACTGGTTGGGCTTGGCTTGTTTCAAGGAGGGTGGTTCAGCCTGGTGGGTAGGGACCCGTCACTCACCGTCCCTGCATGCACAGGCCCCTGCTCCTCCGGCTGCCCAGCTAGCCTCCCCGCTGGGGCCAGTGCTGCTTCCCACAAGCAAGGGTCCCTCGTGGCTGCAGAGTCGCGTTCACCCGGCATCCTTCCCACACGGCACCCCCACCTCATCCTCTGCTCCCTTCCTGTAGTGTCACTGAGTCCCCTTGTTTTCTCTTGAGGGTCTTGTTCTGATTTCTGTCTCCCTCTTCTTTCTGGGGCAATGTCCCCAGCGACGCTGCGCCTCCTCTGGCTCTGGGTGGCCGAGCCTCCGCCCGGCAGCAGGGCTTCCTGCCCGGGTCTCCCCCGGGGCTTTCTCTCTGTTCCTGAAGCCCCCAGGGGACAGCGGTAACAACCCCTTTCCTGCCAGGATGCGGCCCCTCTGGACTCTAGAGACTCAGACCCGTGGAGATCTCCCTGGCTGCTGAGAAGCACTTCTGGGCATGAGGCCGCGGAGGGTCCCTCCCTCTCCCCGGTGTCCCTTCCTGGGCTCCACTTTCCGTGTCCACGCTCAGTTGAGACCCTTCTCCCTCATGGCCCTTCCTCTATGATCCTTTATTCACAGCCTTCTGACAAGACCCCCTGCGGTCCCTCGGTGGGACGTGCCCCGGGCTGCTGTTCCCTGGTCACCTCGGCAGCTCTGGACAGTGGCCTCACGGGCACGTTCCTCGCCACCAGCTCTGCACGTTGCCACTGGCCACAGAACCGATGGCCTCACCTCCTTTCCCAGCCTGACCAGATCTGGCCTCAGCCTCCCTCCTGCAGCTCTGAGCCGGGGGCCGCCCCTTCTGAGTGGGAGTTAGGAGCCACGCCTCTTCCAGGTGGTGGTCCCTCAGGAGTCCGACTGTGCCCCCACCCTGCCCTCACAGTCCTGGACTCGGTCCCGCAGCCTGCCCTCCTGGCAGTGCCCAGCCCTGCCCGAGTGCCGCCTCCCAGCCTGGACTCTGCAGATTCCCCTGAACTTCCGCTCGCACCTTCCTGGGCCCGAGAGGCCTCACGGGTGAGCAGACTCTGAGCACCTGCCTGTCCACTGGGCCTCGGCTCCACCAGGGGTTTGGCCGGATGTGCACTTCAGGGTTGTAAACCACTTTTCACCCTCAGAGGTTCCAAAGTCTGTCTCACTGGAGCCGTTTGTGGCCCAGCCAGCCGCGGCCAGCTGCCCTTTCCCGCAGCCTGGAGCTCCCTGGTCCCCACATCCTGCCAGGCCTGGGTGACGCCGCTGATTTGACTTTGCTTTTCACCTGTCAGCCTGCACGCCACTTCCCTGGTCAGGGGCGCTGACTGGGATTCTCCTGGCCTCTGCTGCACGGCCTCTGGCACCCCCGTGCCCTGGTCCCCACATGTTGGCCTGGCTGTGATGTCTGTGATGGGGTCCTGTGCTCCCCCTGACCTCTGACCCTGGACCCCCACTTTGGCCACCTGTGTCACGTCCACCCCTGACCTGACATGTCTGAGTGGAGCTGCTCTGTGTCTGTGGGTGGCCAGCCCCACCCAGCCCTCTGCAGACGTCCCCATGCGGCTTCCTCGCTCCGTCGTTGCTCCTTCCTAGAGGAGTGTGAGACCCCCGCCCCTCACAAGCACTCGGGTCCCTGAGGCTGCGTCTGCTTCCTGCTCTCCTCGGCCTCTCTCTCCTTTGGTGGTGCTGGGCTGAGCGCAGGGCACACTGGCAGCCAGCCCATGTGCCCCACGTCCAAACAGGCTCTGGCTAGGCTGCCAGGCCCCTCCTGCCACAGCCCCTGTGTCCCTGGCCTGCGGGCCAGCCTCCTGGCTTCTGTGCCATCCTGTCCCTTCCACCGGTCTCAGTGTCATACTGGCATAGTCTTGTTGGTCACCATGTCCTCTATTCACTTGAGTGGGGCCTGGGAGCAAGTCCTAGGGTGTGGCCAGCCTGGTCCCTTTGCAGAGAACCCTTAGGAGAGCAGCGGGGAGAACCCTTAGGGGAGCAGCGGGGGAGAACCCTTAGGGGAGCAGCAGGGAGAACCCTTAGGGGAGCAGCAGGGAGCCCTTAGGGGAGCAGC